GCGAAGATTAACCTTTTCCGTCCAAAGGCCAGTACCAAATGTGGCTGTTAATAGAAGAATGCCTATGACGGTCATTTGTGCCTCGGTAACATCGTATCTGCAATGAAAATGTGCGTAAGAGAAGCAAATGTTAGCTTGGAACTGGTCACCTACCGAGCAGTGACTTAGCACGCTCTGAGTTACATCAAGACCAGCCCAACTATCGACGTGGAGCGATCGATGGTGCTGATAATCAGTTATGCCAAGTTCATCATCTATCCTAAACTTCCAGCACCCAGTTCCATTCTGCAGCAATCATCACCCACCTGTACCGTCTCTTTGATGTCTTCCAGCAACACCGACACTCAATGCAACACTTAGTAAACCACCAGTATTCAATGCATTTACCGGCTGCATGCAAATCAAGCAACATAACGAACGACCAGTGAACATTTTCTCTTCATATCGTAAATCAAAGACGGCTGAGTGATTGCCTCCGCAGCTTGGAGATCTTTGCGTCCAGATTTATGCTTTTTTTAAACATTTATAACAGTCCTGTTCATGGTGACGGTCGGTTACAAGTAGACGTGTCAGCAGTAAGTAAGCTGAATGACCCCACACGGAAGTACCAGTGATGGTGATACATTATGTGTACCTCGGAGAAGAAAGACGGGAACACCAAAAGGATATCAAAATCGCTCAAAGGATGGCCATCAGCAGAGCAGCCAGTGTAAAAGTCTGCGGTCGAAATGACGACAAATGACAGCCGGTCAACGCTCCAGTCAGAAGTAAATTCAAATGCTACCCTTGTGCTAACGACGAGTATGAGCTCATAATACAAGCAAAACGACTTACTTGGCAAATTTCAACTGCCCTGTACAGTAGGTGCTCCAGTGTGCGCAGTAAAAAAGCGTAACGGATAAAATAACTACTAATAAAACCAAATAACGCTCCTCACCAATTAACATCGCATAGCAAATGTTTAACGTGACAAACACTGCAATATAACAGTTCCAGTGTGCCACAAAACAACACAAATTGTTCTTTTCTTATGAAAAGATATGACAAATAACAGAATGCTGAATTTTACGTAATTTATCCAGAAAGAAGCAAACCCTGAGAAATAGCGTCACATCCATGATCGAAAAGTTCACCCAATGGCGAACTCGAACCAGTGCGACGAGCCTGTTTCCCATCTGTAGCATCAAGT